TTTTCTGATGAAGGGTCTAGGCCCGAAACGTCAGCCTCTCTGCTCCTATGATGCTGCTTGGCCTGCTGTGTTCATCCAGCCCTGCACCTTGTTGTCTCAGATTCTCCAGCATCTGCAGTTCCTACTATCTCTGAGACTTGAATCCAGACACCTTGTGTAGAGGTAGGGACATTACCACTGCGAATGTTTTTTCATTTATTTTTAAGAAAACTACCTAGGGAGGTGAGGAAACCAAGGAACGTATCACCTGTTGAAATAGCCCCTTTCTTCTTCAGTCAAGGGCAAAAGACAGTAATTTAAGTGGCAAAATGTTTCACATCTGGATAGTTTTTCTTAAATGAACCTGTACTGAACTCCAGTCGCTCGCATAACAGGCTAGAATACTAACTGCTTTACAAGTGTAACCACTTTACTAAGTGAATGAAAAACATACTATTAAAAAAAATCAATCTGGATATATTATGACACATCGCCACAGTCATCAATCCTGGAGTGGGACCTGAATCTTGGCCTTCTGGCTCAGAGGTATAGGCATTACCCTCTGTCACAAGACTCTTATGTGGCTTTTTACATACAAAAAAGGGCAGGATTTTATGAGGATGAACGATCTTGTGCATATTGCCACTCTACACCTTTTTTTTTTTTAAACAAACTAGAGCTCTGCAGTTCTGACACAAGATTCAAATCAAGGCACCTTAAGAAGTGCAGAACTGTACTTCCATTCGGACAGTTCTCTCATAGTGAACTGTAATGAGAAGTTAATCAATGCCCCTGTCTCATAACAGACATCTCCACATCTAAAAGTAGTGCACCTGGTACAACTCCTATCTGGGCCACTGTTTAATCTACCTGTTTGGTCATGTTATGGCATGATTCCATGGTGGGTGCTCAAGAGTATTGATTTTTTTTTAAGTCAACCTCTTCAGAAATGGTATTACACACCTCTGGAGCAGATGGGCTTGAACCCAGGCCTCCTGGCTCAAAGGTAGGGACACTACCACTGTGACATAACAGCCCTCACTGGTCAGTGCTGATGTGAAGTCCAAGTTAATGCCCACTATCTGAATATTATTAAACACAACTAATAGATTACCACTCCACTATGGCTTTTAAAACCTATATGGATGTACACTAGATGGAGCTCTGACCTGTCTGAAATGTATGGCAATTTGTAAATTAACATAACCATTAATTTACTCAATTAATGTTACTCTTTATTGAAAATCATATACTTACAAAGGGAATACAGCTTCCTGTGTGCAGTGCAATGTGTTGATGTAATCAGGACTTGGATTATAAAGCATTGTATACCAGTCTGAAAGCATCTTCACTCGGCAGGACCGGATTTTCAGTCGCCCAATTGGCTCATTCACCAGTAATGTAACAATGGCTGCAACAGTGCATTCCAATAATGCTGTCACATGCTGAAAAAGTGCACTGGAACTATAGGAAAAACATTAGCGAATTTGTTAAGATGAAGTTTAGATCTTTAAAATACTGACGAAAGATTTTAGTTCATGGTGTAAGCAAATGCAAATAGAGGCTGCTCTCATTCGGTCCTGGAAATTTTAAAGAAATTTCAACTTATGAGGGAATGCAAAGGAACAATTAGAAATGGGCTTTTTTAAGTGACTGAGCTGGTTCTAGATCACGGAATAATAGATACAGAGTGCGAGAGGAGCAACCCAAGGTAAAACAAGACAATGATCAGAGAGAAAATGAGACAAGTGCCCATTCTAACATGCTCCTATATCTTATGATCATATAGTAAGTTGAAGTAGAAGGCAACTAGAAGCTCACACTACTCTTTATCTCAGTAACAGGAAACAAATTTATATCCATGTTACCACTCTTAATTTTAGTTCTTGAGCTATAACTTTGTTCAAATGTCTGTTGTTCACCACTTTAGCAAATATCTTCTGGTAGTCCATGTACAGCACTTCTACAGAAATACCCTCTTTATTGCTACATCAAAAAATCTCAAAACAATTTAGTTCGGCAGTGTGTCCTCTCTAGAAATCTCTGCTCTCTTTCCTTAATGAAAATGCATTTGCCCATGTCACTATTAATTCTGTCCCAAATTATAACTTCTAAAAGCTCACCTACTATTTAGGTTAAACTGGCTATAGTTCAGGGTTTATCTTTACACACATTTTTGAACAAGGGTGAAGCAATTGCAATTCTCCACCACTCCCCTTGGGTTGCTGATTGTAAAATTATTGTCAGTGCTTTTGTAATTTCACTCTCACTGTCTTCAGTATGGTGCAACTCATCTGGTCCTGGTGTCTTATCAACTTCTACATTATAGCTGTCCCACACACTTCCTTCTCAATGTTAAACTTTTGAAGTATTTAACCATTTCTTTTTCATTATGACATAGTTAGCATCTTGGTAATGATGAATGCAAAGTACTATTATCTCAACCATTACCACAGCTACCATAGGTAAATCCAATGTATAGTCCTTAATAACACCCACTCCTTATATTATATCTTTTTGCTATTCATAGTCCTGTAGAAGACTTTGGATTCCCTTTTATGTTAATTGCTGGTTCTTCTCATGTTTGCTTTTATCTGCTCTTTCAAATCCCTTCAGGTGACAAGTCATAGCAATTTATTCAGTCTTTCCTCATAGGCTAAGCCTTTCAGGGGTCAAAATGCTTTTACTCAAGGGCTTTCTCAAGGTTACTTTTGATTTTTGGGGCCTTCATTTGACTAGGCATCCATTGTGCACTGTGAGTCATCAACAGCAGCATCGTACTTCAGCACAATCTGGAACCTCATGACCCGGCATGTCCCCGACAGAACAATTACTATCAAGCTAGTGGTTCAACCCTGGTTCAATGGAGAGTGCAGGAGGGCACAGTAGGTATAACAGCAGACATATTTTAAAAAATCAGGTGTCAACCTGGTGAAGCTACAAAACAGAACAACTTGCATGCCAAACAACATAAGCCATCCTACAACAACTTGTCAATCAGATCTAAGCTCAGCAGTCCTGCCATGACCAGTCTTGAACGGTGGTGGACAATTAAACACCTCACTGGAAGAAGAGGCTCCACAAATATCTCCATCCTCAACAATAGAAGAGCCCAACACATCAGGACAAAAGATAAGGTTGAAGCATTTCGGGCAATCTTCAGCCAGATGTGCCAAATGAATGATCCTGTTCAGCATGCTCCAGTGCTCCTCAGCATCAAAGATACCAGTCTTCAGCCAATTGAATTCACTCCACAATGTCAAGAAATGGATGGAGGTACTGGATAGTGCAACGGCTACATCTTCTGACAACTATAATGCTGAAAGCCACGCGCCTAGCCAAGCTGTAGCACTGCATTTACAACATAAGCATCTACCCAACAATGTGAAACATTGATCAGGTATGTCCCATACACAAAACAGCAGGCCAAATCTAACCTGGCCAATTACCACGTCCATCAGTCTACTCTCAGTTATCAGTAAAGTGAAGCTGTCATCATAGTGCTATTAGGTAGCACCTGCTCGCAGACACCCAGTTTGGGTTCTGCCCGAACACTCAGCTCCTGATCTCATTACTGCATTGGTGCAAACATGGACAAGAAGTGAGTTGAATTGCAGAGGTGAGGTGATAGTGATACCCCTTAACATCAAGGCTGCATTCAACCGAGTGTGGTCTTAGCAAAACTGGAATCAATGGGTACCAAAGGGCAAGCTCTCTGCTGGCTCACATCATACCTGGCACATAGGAAGATAGTTGTGGTTATTGGAGGTCAGTCATCTCAGCTCTAGGACATCTCTGCAGGAGTTCCTCAGGGTAAATGTCCTAAGCCCTACCACCTTCAGCTACTTCATCAATGACCTTCCCTCCATCATCAGGTCAGAAGTGAGGACGTTCACCATTCATCGCACAAAATTCTGCATCATTTGCGACTCCTCAGATACTGAAGCAGTCAGTGTTCAAATGCAACGAGATCTGAACAATATCCAAGCTACGGCTGACAAGTAACATTTGCAGCACACAAATGCCAGGCAATGACATCTCCAATAAGAAACAATCTAACCACTGCCCCTTCACAAGAGCAGGTCAAAGGAATGGAAGACTGTGGTGAGTAACTCACCACCTGGCTCCCCAAACTCTTACCACCATCTGCATGGCACACGTCAGGAGTGCAATGGAATACTCCCCATTTGTCTGAATGAGTATAGCTTCAGCAACAGTCAAGAAGCTTGGCACCATCCAGGACAAAGCAACACACTTGACTGGCCCCACATCTAAAAGCATACATTCCCTCCACCAGCAATGGTCAGTAGCAGAAGCGTGTACTATCTACTAGATGCACTGCAGAAATTCAAAGATCCTTAGACAGCATCTTCCAAACCAACAACCAATTCCATTCAGAAGGACAAGGGCAGCAGATACATGGCAACACCACCTCCTGCAAGTTCACTCATCATCCTGACCTGGAAATATAAGTACTGTTCATTCATTGTGACTGGGTCAAAATCCTAGAATTCCCTCCCTGAGGGTCAACCTACAGCACCTGGACTGCAGCTGTTTAAGAAAGCAGCTCATCTCCACCTTCTCAGGCAATAAATGCTGGCAAACCAACAACCATCAGTCCCCTCAGTTTTTTTTTTACAACTGCCTGTGCTTGAGAAACTCAAATCACAGTGTCCAATGTGAAATGTGAATCAACATTTGGACAGCATTTGATAAATAATCCTGAATATGCTAAGATGACAACTAATTTACAATTGTTAGTCAGCTTGCAATGGGTGCATTTGTGCATTTTGGAAAATGCATATCTTAATACACAGGGCCTTGCTCTCTGTAGACAGAAAGAACATGTACACATATGGCTGCTGCTGCTGCTTCAGCAAAGCCAAATGAAAACAATTCTATGGTTCATTTCTCAGGGCAAGACCTAAACCAGAGTTAAGCTGCACGATTCAAAATTTAAACAAAGCTGAGAGTCATCTTCTAACATAATTCTGCACAGCAATGCCTCCACCCATCAAAATCCACTTGTTAATTGATTAGCATCCTAAGGGTATAAACTGTTGTTTACCCTTTACATTGGTGTTTCTTACAAATCGCCCCAATGTGTGCAAGATGAAGAACTTCAAGAAAATGTGTCTTTTGTCAACTATAAACAGAACTAATATTCAGTTGCGTTTCACGTGGGCCTCTTGCAGCAACCAAAGATGACTTTCACACCCTCGGTCTCTACCAATCCATTTCCTATCAAAGAAAACTCAATGTTTAACCTACTGTGACATCTCCACATCTAAAAGTCAGTACCCAGTAACACCACCATTTATGTTTAGTGTTCTGAAATAATACTAACCTTTTTTTCCCTGAATACCATTCGATAAAGAACCAATGCAAAACCAGAGGCAGCATTGCCATGAAGCCCAGGTACAACCAATCATAGAGTTCTGGTGAATCCTCACATTTACGACAAATCTTCACATTATCTGTTCTTTCACCTCTTGGGCATACCTACAGAGGAGGTGTTTTCAGATAAAGTGAAAAAAAAATTTTCATTACCAAGTTACATTAAATGTTTGGTGTGCCACAATTTTCCAGATTGAAGTTATGGACACACATTCGCAATTCCATTTCAACTAAAACTAGCTCCCAACTGTTAGAATTTGGAGCAAGAGCCTTTATCCCCTTCAAAATCAATTTCTGAAATAATTTGATTATATATTTTCTTTAGTACAAGTAAGATTTCACATGTAATGCTAATGTCTAAGCAATCATATCAAAGCACAACACAATTATGAATACTCCCTCAGCATGACCCAAGTACTGTGTTGCCAGTCAATGCAGCACCACAATAATCTGTGCTCAAGGAATCTTTCTTTACACATCAAAAGGAACTGATTTAATGCAGTCATTACCTATTACGTGAATTATCCATTTACAAAAGATATCATTTACCATTCGGCCCATTAGTTAGGGCAGACTGTCAAGATTCCTAATTACCCTTGTGAAGCTCTCTAGTCAGCTTGCAAACATTTCAATGCCGATTCCTGGCTAAAACAAAGAAAGCCTTGGAAGTCAGTCATTTTGGCTTGGCTCTACCAATTATGTCATTCATAGATTCGGCTAAGGTACGTATATTTTGGTTCTCATGTTTCAGGCTGGCTTTGCTCACATTTTGTCAATTTCAGAAGTTTACTTTTTTACAGTTTGGCCAAAGTCGAAACCATATTCACCATTGTATTAATCCAAAAACTATTTTTACCCAGTGTATACTACATGAAGGAATAAAAAAGTTCTGCATAAGATTACATTTAAAGAACTGTATTTAAGTTAGTTTCCATTAAAATGCAAGAAAATGATGGGATTTGCCAGATGATTTGAAGGAGAAAAAAGGGAAATAAGATCAAGATGAGAGTGACCTGTCTAAAAACAGCCTGCATTTGTTTATGAATTCAAACTACAAATCTTTGTATTTCAACTAAAATTATATCACCTTGAATGCTTGTGGTTTGAATCCAGAAGCAAATTAATGACAGTTTGTTCACTGAATCGCATTAGGATGAATCATTATTCATTCAAACTATGGAATCAACAAGCCTACTTTGAACATTTAAATATGCTCCTTCAAGCACATAAGATTAAAGAGTGAATAAATGAATAATTATTCAGTCTTTTTATCTATAATTAAAACATATGCTGCAGCACTGCATATTGAATTTAGTTTACAGATTACAATCACTAGCTCTATTCTTTGATAAATCCAACTTACAAATGCTAATTGCAAAACTAAGTCTCTCAGAAGAAAACACTGCCTTCCACAGTCCTGGTCAAAAGTCACACAATACCTGGTTATAGTCAAACAGATTTATTTAAAATTACAAGCTTTTGGAGCACTGCTCCTTGATAGATTTCTGCTGATGAAAGAGCAGCACTACAAAAGCTTGAGATTTCAAATAAACCTGTTGGACTATAACCTGATGTCATGTGACTTCTGGCTTTGTCCACCGGAGTCCAACACGGGCACCTCCACATTATTCCAGAGGCCTAGCTGAAAATTTGTCAGTAGACCCAGATACATTTAGAATGAAATATAGACCTGACTGTATGATCAATACATGTTTCACATACTAAACATAATCACAGAAAAAAAAAATTGTTCAACATTAATGAATATACATATACTGGATTTTTTTTTTAAAAATTGCTTGGGTAACAGGTATCATCTAACCACCTGTGTAAACATGTGATCTTTAAAGACTAATTCTGCCTTTAATCATTGTCATCTTTACACAAGAAATGAAAAACGTACAAAAAAAAACTTACCCCACAGTCTCCAAACTGTGGATGACTGTCATTTCTGCTTTCTATTATTGGTTTTCCACAGTATAAACCAGGGCATATTAAATTAATATCTGAAATTAATAACATTTAAAAAGTTTTGAATGTTAAATTAATTTTAATGCAATTATAATATAAATATTTGAATGAACAATGATTATAAGCCATTTATAACTAACTAGATATCAAAGTATCAAGAGTGTGACATCATGGAACCCGAACAAAATCAAATGGAAAATAATTCCAGTGGTAAAGACACATCTGGTACAATGAAAGGTAGTTGGGAGTCAGAGAACTCTCATCACAGTCATGGTAATCTCGGCAAGAGTTTCTCAGCGAAGTGTTTGTGGCCCAAGTCACTATACTTACTTCATCAAAGTTCAGGATTGAAGTTGTTTGCTGAGGTTTCCAGAGTATTTAACTCTTTTCTTGAAGCATCCCATGCCTGTCTGCTTTAGGACCTTCTGAAAATTCAGGCTTGGGCTTAGAAATAGCAGATAACATTTAGCAGACAATAACCATTTCAAAGTACTCAACCACCTTTCCTTGACCTTTATTAAGATTTCTAACATGGATCATTATTGATCAGATGCTGAACAGGACCAGCAATATTAACTATTGTTACCACTGATCCACAGGCAAGGTTCCCAAATCCATTCTGATTCCAAGAACACAGCAAGCAAGGCAGCATCTGGAGGAAAGAAGAAGTCAGACTGAAGACAGGTAATACCTGAAACCTTGACTTCTCCTTTCCTCCAGATGCTGCCTGGCTTGCTGTGTTCTTGCAGCCCATTTGTCTACCTTGGATTCCAGCACCTGCAGTATTGTTTTGTCTCATTAAGATTCCAGATGAGACATCGCCAAATCATTACAATCCTGGATGAGGAGGGAGTAAGCGGCACCTTTATTCAAACCCTTCACCTCAGTTGGTCAAACCAAGGTTAACTTAACACAGGGATCCCTTAAACAAACAAAACCAGAAACCTCTCCACAAATGCTGCCAGACCAGCTAGATTTCTCCAGAATTTTCTGTTATTGTTTATTTCACAGCTCCAGCATCTGCAAATCTTTGTTTTATTATACAAGGGTTCCCCTCCCTCACAGATACATCTCCCAATTCCAATGTATTTATGTTTTAAAAGGGTCCAATTTAATCAGACCTTGTTGGAATAAGGAACAAGTAAGTTTATAAGTTGCTAAAATGCAAGGAAGAGTAATAAAATGCAAAACGATTAGAAATGAGAAGTGAGGAAATACATAAAAGTCAGAGAAGGGAATGAGGTACTAATCAGTCTGTCTTTTCATGAGGAGTAGTAATGGTGAAATACTGGAGCCATTAAATTGAGTGGTTCCAGTCTTGCTAATCTCAGTTCTCGGTTCTGCAAGTTAACTGAAGAGAAATGCCCTGTTTCCTTTGCAACAGTGGCTCTGCTGACGTGCAACTTGCTTTCAGCAGTCAATAGAGAGAGATAGACTACTTCTTTAGCCTGTAGCCACAGGGATGCCCCATGGATATCCTCTACCTGTGATCTTTGCAGCACACACCAAGTCAGTAAAACTAGAACACCAGACTAGCACACGCAGATCTAGGTTACAATTTTTTTTAAAAACGCCTTCTTTTATATATTCCTGGAAGGGGGAAACACAAACATGTCCATTACCCAGATCTGCTACTTTTTAACCTCATCTTGTCTACAGTCTGGGATACAAGTCACAGAAGATGGTTCCTGCTGAAGTGGTAATTGGCCTCCATTATCACTGCAACTACACAAGATTAGAATTCAGTTTCTGCATTGCATCACTTCCTTTGAAATTTCCTTGTCTGAAGTTGCTTGACAACATTCTGTGGTCTCTCTTGGAACAGAGTATAATCTACATAGGAATTTTCCAGTGACTGAATTTATATTCTCAGAATTTTCATTCCCCATCATCTTTGCCTTATGTCTTATTTTTCCCCCAAAAAAATCTGTTTTACACAAAATGTAAAAGATGTATGTAATTCAGGGTATGTTTGATGTGGGCAAGTCACAATGAATGATTCACTCCAAAACTGTTAAAGCATTTACAAGAATGAAGTCAAGAGTGCAACTGAATTCTAGCCACTTGTTCAGATGGGTACACCTGCAATAATTTGTATGTTTGTAGCACTTTTAATAGTAAAATGCTTGGAAGTGCCACAAAGAAAGGTGATCAAACAAAATGTTGAGACATACAGGAAGTTTTATAGGCTTATGACTGTAATTAGCATTCAAAGAAGGTTCAATATGCTGAATCCTGGGATGAAGTGATTGTCTTATGAGAAAAGGTTTAAGTTTAGAAGACAGAGGGATTTACTGAAATTTGTAGGATTGCTTGTGTGCATATCAATGTAGCTACTGAGATGATGTTTTCTCTTGTGGGAAATCTAAAACATGGAGGCACAATGTAAAAATCAGAGATCTCCCATTTAAAATAAAAATGAGGAGGAATTTTTCCTCTCAGTTTTAGTCTTTGGAATTATTTCCAGAGACAGGATTGGAGACTCAAAATACTGAATACATCCAAGGCTGAGTTGCACTGAAATTTCATCAAAGGGATTCAAGGGTTATGGGAGGTAGGCAAGAAAGTGGTGTTAAGACCACAGTTAGATAATTCATGATCTTACTTAATGGCACAGTAGGGTCAAGTAGCCTACTCCTGATGAATTTATCTAAAGAGATATTAAGAGAAGTCAGCAAAAGTTAAAGATCTAAGTGGTATCGTAAAAGAGGAGAGGCAAAGCAGTGGAAAAGCTTAAGAAAATATTTTATTCATTCAGAGCATGTGAGTTGCCAGATGGACCAGCACTTATTACCCATCCCCAGTTACCCTTGAGAAAATTATAGCAAGTTAACTTTTTGAACTGCTGCAATTCCTCTGGTGTATGTGCACACACAATGCTCTGCAATACCAGAATGCCAGTGTTTGGATCCTAAGCGACTGAAGAAAGTGAGGAATGTGATAAGAGTTCAGAACTGGAGGAGTTGGAGAAGGTTACAGAGGTATGGAGAGTAAGAACAAGGAAGATTTGAAAAATAGATGCTGTACAGTCAGGAGCCAATATAGGTAAGTAAGAGAGAGAGGTGATGTGTGTACAGAAGTTGGTAGGAGTTAGGAAAAGAAGGTAAGTTCAACAAGAATGCAAGGTAGGAAACTAGCCCAGAGTGAATCCAGCAGTTAAACAGTCATGGATGGGTTTCAGCAGTAGTTGAGATGATACAGCGTCAAAGATAGGATACGTTACGAAAATAGACTAGTTAGTGAAGTACGCAGTAAGGATGTGGATGCTCAGTTCGAGGTCAAACAGGATAGCAAGGATACTAGCTGTCTGGTTCAACTTCAAAATCCAAGGAGTCAGAAAATGGTGTACATGGTGAAACCTTCAGGAAATAGCTCCTACCTTCCCCATATTTGACTGGAAGCAATTTCTGCCAATACTGAATATCAGATAAGCATTACAAATCACAGAGGTCAAGATCAATATGTGACAGGTTCAACATCTTCTAGGATAAAGTAATTAGTTTGATTAGCATTTCTGCTACTTGATCTATTATAATCCCTTCATCACCATAACATCGCATGCATGTCTAAAATGTACATAATGCAATGCATCCACTCCAAGTCACTGTGAGCACTTCGCAACTTTGCAAATTCTGTCATTGAGAAGGACAAGAGTCATCGTTTGAACATACAAAGCCAAAGAGACAGAGGTGGCAAAAGCTGTTGTGCTTGTCCGAGGGTTGCAACTACTTGATGAACATAAACAATTTAAATGAGTATATACAGACAGTGATGCATTGATGGGTATTACAAAATAGTAACCTGTTCCATTGTCCTTACAAATGAGAATTATTAAATAACAACAATAATCTATTTATGAAATTCTTCTAATTAATCTAATGTCATTGCAGTTGGAATTCTACTTAAAGTCTAAAGCTTTCTCCAATGAGCTACATTTAATTTTGATGACTTTTGACTGATCAGCTAAATATCACCAGTCCTTACAGCTAATATTATAATAGGTGGCATCATAAATCACTCCAACAGCAGGCATAGTACAAATTATATACAAAGTGAAGCATATCTGCATTGTTGCAAATCTTTGTCAACATCAACTTCAAAACAGAATTTGCTACATCATGTGAGTTTTGCTCATGTATTAGCTGATCATTTATCTCCTAATCAGTCAGTCTGTTTACAACAATTTGAATTCACATAACGTCCTTAACAAAGCAAATCACTTTACTTTGTGGATGTTCTGACTGGAAGCAATTATTTGTGTGCAATTTTAGGAGAAATGCATATAAATACATTTATTGTCAGTACACAGTCGTGGTCACAGAATCACTAGTAACTGTCAAAATTGAATGCGCATTTTTTAATTTTAAAACTCCCATTATTCCACGAGGATTTTCAACGAGTCTAAGAGAGCTTCATACAACCATGCAAGTGAGAATTACGACCAGCTTCTAACAGTTTTGAAAACCCAGTCATGGGAGAGATCTGCAGTGATGTGTTGTGGCTCTCACTGACGCAGAAATAGCTCGATTTTGATACCAACGACGCACGGAATTATTTCGGCGTGTTTAAAGATTTAAAGAAAACACCCTATCGATGTACCTTTATCTAAATACATGTTAAAGGTGTATTTAAGGCCTTGCACGTCCAGTGTAACAGTAATATGTTTTGTCCAGTGGGCACGCAAGGTGGGGGGAATTAATTTTTTTATAAACTCTAAACGATTGGGCAGTTGTCAGTCGAGTCCAGAGTAAAAGAAGAGGGGCGGGGGGGGCCCTGGGGGATTGTTTGCTTTACATTTGGCGACACAAGAGACAGCCCGGTGTTTCCTGATACTTTGGCGAAGGCTCCAAGGACAGATTGCCAAAGGGCCCCACGTGGTTTAAATGCCTATGGGATCACCTCTTCTTCCTAAAGCATTTCATCATCACTAAGTGCACATACACACGATATTGTGAAGAACTAGGCCCCTTACCCATGCTCACATCCAACAACAGCCACCGCCATTCCAATCGTACGACACTTCCGCCTCCTTCCCCACCCACTTCCGGTTAGGGCGGGACTGACATTGACCCCGCCCCCACCGCCCTCGGTCGGGATGGAGCCGCCGAGACGGCCCCCCGGGGTAGGTTCCGTACTCTCGGTACTGGACATGCACACGGGCGGTGAGCCGCTCCGGATCATCACCGGCGGCTTCCCCCTGGTGCCGGCGGGCGATCTCCTCAGCAAACGGCGCTACGTGCGGGAGCGGCTGGACGGCCTGCGTCGGAGGCTGATCTTCGAGCCCCGCGGCCACAGGGACATGTACGGGGCGCTGCTGGTGGGCTCCGAGCGGCCGGACGCTCACCTCGGAGTCCTCTTCATGCACAACCAGGGCTACAGCACCATGTGCGGGCACGCCGTGCTGGCCCTCGGCCGCTTCGCCCTGGACTACGGGCTGATCAAAGAGCCCAGCTCTCCCGAAACCCAGGTCAATATCCACTGTCCCTGCGGCCTAGTCCGGGCTTTCGTCCAGTACGACAAGGGGAAGAGCGGGCGGGTCCGCTTCCACAGCGTCCCCGCATTCGTCTTCGCTACAGGTGAGAGAGAGAGAGAGAGAGAGATAGGAGCCGGGCATTGAGGTTCAGCACCGTAACCTTTAGCTACACTGTCAGTCCGGTTTGCATGTCCCATATTAAATCCATTTGTTTAACATTTAAACAAAACAAAAACCCTGGTTCATCTCTGAAATAGTTTTAAACAAAAAAAAAATGCTGGGAACACTCAGCTGATCTGACAGTATTGGTGGGGAAAGAACAAGTTTTGACGTTTCAGGTCAACGACCTTCAGTACAAAACACCTTGAACTCTTGTCAGTCCCTCCAAACGTGCAACGTACATTCAACATTTTAACGAAATCACAAGGTGTAGAGCTGGATGAACACAGCAGGCCGAGCAGGAAAGCTGACATTTCGGGCCTGAACCCTTCTTCAGAAATGGGGGAGGGGGAAGGGGGTTCTGAAATAAATAGGGAGAGAGGGGGAGGCAGATAGAAGATGGATAGAGGAGAAGATAGGTGGAGAGGAAACAGACAGGTCAAAGAGGCGGGGATGAAGCCAGTAAAGGTGAGTGTAGGTGGGGAGTTAGGGAGGGGATAGGTCGGTCCAGGGAGGACGCACAGGTCAAGGGGGCGGGATGAGGCTAGTAATCTCCCCTCCCCCTACCACATCCCAAAACCAGCCCAGCTCATCCCC